CCCTGGTAAATTTTAACCAAATTCCTATCCTTCGAACATTTTGATATTGCCCCGGTCCGATTTGCACCTTTTCAAGGAACCCCTGGGAGCTGAGGCGAGAACCCCAGTTTCGTCCCGGCAGTTCAGTCCCCCGCCTAAAATCCTCGGCCACACCCCAATTACTCTGATCGACATTCTCAGGGGTACGAAACGCTGGACGGGGTGTGAGGTTGCCTAACAAGGACAAAATTTGGAAGGCTTTGATGTACATGGAGGAGGAAAAGACTCCGAAAATAGACTCTCCGCCAAAGGGATTTTGGGAGACCGTCTCGCCCACTCTCCCATGACTTCATGGAGTATTATCACTTGGTCTGGGATACATAAAAAAATTGGAGAGTTCATTGCCCAAGGGGTCTTGACCCTTCTCTACAAAGAGGGGAGAAAATAAATATCCAGAACTATCAACCAATGACGCTGTTGACCATGGTCTACAAGATATTGGCCTAGGATTTAGCTAATAGGATGCAAAAAGTGACCGCAAACATTATCCACCCCACACAGACTGGCTTCATCAGGTGGCAAAAAATACAGGACAACGTACTCTTAGTTAACGACATGCTTAAGCTGTCACACCAGTTCAAACACAATGCAGCCTTCATATTCATTGATTTTAAGAAAGCATATGATCATGTCGATTGAGTCTTGTGAGGCCTGGAAGTTACCGCACAGGAGGCAACTTGGCCGGTATATCTCCAGGAAGAGCTCATTGCTCTTCCTCATTTGCGGTGTCGAAGTTTGGGCATCAGACTGCTGGAGTGTCCGATGGTAGAGCGCTAGTGTAGAGCGTTGGGAGGAGGAGCGCCTGGCCTTCCACCTTGGCTATGGTGGACAGGACCAGGTACGAGGAGGAGGAAGGAGTTGAGGAGGAGAGTGGAGGAGGCACTTACCTGGCTATCGTGGACATCATCTTCATCTTCTTGGTAGGCACTGCACCTGGAAGGCCCAGGAAGGGGTTGTGCTGCATCAAGAAGGCTTCAGGGCAGAGTCAGGAATGGCGGCCTGAGAGGCAGAGGACATACCTACTTTTGCGTTGTCTTTTGAACATCGGGGCAAGGGCCCAGTAGTACACCATAGCCATCACCTACTGGAGGTGATAGTAGGTGAAGGTCATGGCTATAGTGGACCTCATGTACCACTGGCAGTAGGAGGGAGATTCGGATATTGGTTTTGGTTCAGCCATTCATTGTTATTATTATTATTATTATTGCAATCAGACTCGACTTCTTCACACTTGTCATGCATGCAAACAGCGAAACAGCAAACAGGCGACATGCGCCCACACAGTACTCAAAGATATCGTAACCAGGTAGGAGTTCCCTTCAAACTGGCTATGGCGACAAAGCGCCCACACAACTCACTGTTCGCACTCTGGATCACCCTGGATGTCCCACACACAACACTCTACACGCAACACACACACACACACACGCTACTATAGCTATGGCAGCTATGGCTGCCACTACCCTATCGCTACACTACACTTCACTGCCCTCTTCGTCTTTGGGCGCACTGCAGACCTCCCGGCACAAGCTGCTAAGGCAGCGCTTCCGCATGGCATCTGCAGGAATGAATGAATGGCTGGACGCAGCGTCTTGATTTATACTTCTGTGCGGCGTTGGTCTGCCCTGTATCCCTTGGCCCGCGATGTGCACAGTCCCAGACGGTACTTGCTTGACTGGACCGGACTGGACTACCTGGGACTGCTGACTCTACATAGTGGACCTACACCACTTGCCCACTTGCCTCGGCCTAAACAAGGGCTGACTCCGAAAGGCCAGTTCTAGAAACTTCTACTTTGGCCTTTCGGTACTGTAGCAGCTACGACTTTGCCCTTTCAGGTAAGTAGCAGCTACGACCTTGACCCTTCAGACATCCTACAGCTACGACTTCGGAACTGTCTAGACTCCTACCCTACAGGTCTACAGTTCAATTCCCTTCTAAGCTGTGACCTWCGACAATCTACCTRYCACTGGCGTTTYGACAGGTCGYAGGTTCAAATCTACGGGTTGTCATCAATACTGYACACAGGTAAGATGGGGAACTAGGGATCGAGCCCTGGGATCTGCATTTGCTACTGCGAACTGGTGAATACCGTTTCACTCCCGCCAGCCTAAATTCGAGGTCCTCCRAGAAAATTTCAGTCCAAGGCAGGACCTTTACCATTCTGCTGTCTTTCATAGGTCCGGACTATATCGGGAGCTGTCTCTAGAAGTTCAGATCTTGTAAACCAGCGGTCGTCTTCCGGTTCTTGATAACTGAAATGAACCTTGTACTGTTTCTGCGGACGAYCCCTACCTCCAGTTCGGAAAACATCTTCAGCCACTATACCATCTATGTCGTATCTTCCATCCATATCCGGTGGGATCATCGATSTACGGGATGGAAACTGGTCACTTGTCTGACAAGGTAGCAACTTCGATGCGTGGAAAACTGGGTACGTGTGGAGGTGTGCTGGGAGTTCTATGGTATAGGACGGTCCATCTTCGTCGCCCTTGACTTCCAGGACAGGCCACGACCCTCTATACGTGGGCAGTAACTTCTGCGAGATGTTCTCCTCAGGTGCAAACTCTTTAGAACTAACCCAGACTAAGTCGCCTACTTGAAACTGTGAAGGGCGACGATGTTTGTTCGCTTGCTCTATCATCCTATGCTGGGCTTTCCTGAGGTTTTCTACGACAGTAGCTAGTTCTTTTTCGTGCTGTACAGCAAACTCCCTGGTCCCGGGCGRCAATCTRTGAATCTGATCCCGGTTGAGTCCCTCAAACGGTCTGCGCGGTCGAAAGGACTTGTGCAGTTCGTTGGGAGTGCGGCAGGTAGACAAATGCACGCTGTTATTGTACGCACTAGCTA